GGCTATAAAGGCACCAAACTCGAGACCCTTGCTAACCAACGCGCATAAGAGAGAGAGCGGGATTGGGACATGACCCATAGTCTTGTTTTTTGTATGTGATTTCAGTTCAACTCCCACAAGCCTTCCAAGTAATAAGTCAGTCTTCAACTCCCACAAGCCTTCCAAGTAGCTAATAAGTCAGTGATTCTGAGTGTTCTCATGCTAAAGTCGAAGGATTGGTCGTTCGCATACATATTGACTTCATACTGGCGTTTTGTATATTACGCCTACAACACGCAGTGGAATTTCACCAAGTTTAACAAAACTGGGCTGGATCCTTTCCGAACAAAAAGACTGCGGGCGATAACTTGCTTGAAACTTTGGAAGTAGCACGAGTGTGAACTGCCTCAGGGCAATACCGCCCACATCATAGTGTAGCGTGGGACGTCAGGAAGTCAGCGGTAGTCGGCGTTCGAGAGGATGTAGTGACGGCACACGTCGGTTCTGAAATGTGCAGATATAGAGGTTGGTAGTTCTGAATCCACACGGCACACACATTCGCACAAGTCGGGTGACACAGGAAAGAAGACCTGGAGCGTGGCAAGAACACACGTGTATTCAACCGAAACAGGAATTCGGGAGGGGGGGGTACAAAGTCGGGTCAAGGTCAATCAGGGGGATGTACAAGCAGGATACTCTTTCCTGTCGGGAGCTGGTGGCGTTTTGTCCGTGGTACTTGCAATAGGATGAGAGAGGGAGGCACACGTCAGGTCATATGATTACCTTGCAATCGCGTTTCAACTGCGTTACAATAGTCGCGATTGAAGTGCGCGCCCAACAGGCTGGGATAGAAAATCGCCAGCCCATACTCATGGACTATCCACAAGCGAATCATTCCAGGTTAGGAAATTTAAGTACCTTTGTAGATCTGTATTGGATCGGGCCAGATGTGTAAGGAGGCAAGCGGCCGGTCATATAACGCCCAGAGCAAGCTGGGCTTTAGATAACCCAGATGCTATGGTGTGACTGGAAGATCCAGGCTCCTGAACCTAGACCGCTTCTGTCTAAGCTTGGGTAGTGTCGTAACCCTCGTGCGCCCGTCGGGTGGCACGACAGGTGTGCACCGAAAGGATTTTGCAGCCGAACAGTCATTACCAATAATAATACTAATCGTCCAGCCGTAGCACCCTTCCGGTGCCTAGCTGCCATGCCACACGAAGGAGGCACGAGGGCTGGTATACTGCCAGGTCGCCCAATCCTAGACAGGGGAAATCGAGAGGCAGAGGTCGGGTTCGAACCACGGACCTTCCGGTCAGTAAATTCGCGCTCTAACCACTTGGTCCATCTCGCCCGACCATTACTACTCTTACGTGAACGATTGTTTGAACAGGTCTTATCTGCAATTCAACGATTTTCTCTGCCAGGCTGCTTGAGTGTAGTTCATTGGGGAATCTAATTATGGTCATTCTGATTGTGTGCGATGTATATACTTCGTGAGCCTGACATAATAGTTTGTATGGTCTTAAAATGCTCCTTTCGATTTCACGATGAGTAGCCATCGTATTCCGTTCACCGCGAACGTGGGACTCGTCACTGTTGAATCACTTTCTATCCAACTGACTAGTTCCTCAGCGTCCCCGAGGACGTGCTTTCGACGATCAACAGCTGGGATCTCGGTTCCAGTCTGTAGAATACTCACCCAGTTATCGGCGGTCTTTTTACCGCAACTTGTTCCAATTAACGTTCATCTCCAGGCTCCCTTTTTTGTCGTATTAGAGCAGAATGTTGGCTATGGGGGTCCGTGGGACCCTTTCACAAGTTTATTTTCTTCATCTCCAATACGGGCTTATTTTTATGCCTTCAAAGTCCGAAGCTGGCTGATGGGAATGAGTTGAAGCTATCCCACCTTGACTCGTTCGACGCAGCAAACGGGAAAACTCTTTTGGTTGTAACACCCAGTGTATCGCTGCCATTTCATCCGGGAGAAGCACGAGGGCTGCTCAGGCGTAGACAAAAGCACTCGAGCTACCGGAGTTAGGTTCGAACCACGGACCTTTCTGTCAATCATTTTGCCTCTTTAGCTCTGAGCTATCTCGATCTTTGTGACAAACAGGACTAAAAACACTCGGTAATTCTGGTTTTCTTGCAGTCGGCTATTTAGATCACACAGGTGGTCCTACGTGACTTTAGCTTGGTGACTCTGTGCCGCGCCGAGCATTTGGATTAATTTGACTTTCTCGACAAACGTTCAACTATTGTGAGTTAACCCAATTGGCTAGTAGGGTCGAAATTTCGATTCATGCCGTCTTCAGGTCACCTCAGCTCCAAGGCTGAAAACAGATTTCACATTCACGCTTCTCTTATTTGTACAATCCTGGCGCGGTTAGTCCCTAATAAAGGAGCAGTCATCGGACTCGAGTTTCGCTTTTATTAGGGCTCATCGACGGTGCATCTCCTTGACGTCGTGGGCATTAGAGCAACCACACACTCAAACCAAGTTGACCAGACCGTGGTTTGAGTTCGGCGGGCCGTGCTGGCGCGTTCATTAGTTAGTGTCTTGGTTTTAGTGATCCAAATGCAACTTCAGTCGATCGAATTTTATATTTTCGTTGTTCAGCTGTAACACCCTTTCGGTACCTAGCTGTCATGCCACACGAGGGCTGGGATTTTGCCAGGCTGTCCAAGTCTAGACAGAGGGGAAGTCGAGAGGCAGAGGTCGCGTTCGAACCACGGACCTTTCCGACCGATAAATTCGCGCTCTAACCACTTGAGCCATCTCGCTCTCAGTCGATCGAAGTGTGATGGGCGAAGGGACGATTTCTAGTGGCCAAGACCAGGGAGCAGTGTCGACATCGCGAAGCTTTTGGTTTGTCAACGATCTTTTATTCTAACACATCCCTTCCCTGGAGATGGGAGTCTGTGTTACTGAAGGAATCCCATTTTCTCTCACCTTCCCGTTAAGTCAGCAATGATCATTCGTGTCTGCCCAAATGCATGGCCTTACATGTTTAGACGAACCCTGGATAGCTCAGTCCGCAAGACGTGTAATGACTAACTAGAAGATTCGTGGTTTGAACCCAACCTCGGCTTCTCGACTGCTTCTGTCTAGGCAATCTCGCAGTATTTCAGCCCTTCCTTCGGGCGGCAGCTAGGCTCCGAAAGGATGTTACAGGTGAACGACTTGTTTACAAGTCCAAGCAGGTAAAAAGGTAGATAAGATGGCAAACCTACTCGGGTTCATACCATGCGAGGTGACTGATTTCCTGGTTGAAGAGCGGCATTCAGTCTCGGGTATGCCATATTTCCTGAAGAAGCCAGCCCAGAAACGTGAGATTTACCATAGTGCCCTGCCTTCAGTGATAAGCTGTTTCGAATACACATCGCCCGCTTTCGGGTTTGTTGAGTGCGCTCCGTACTATGAAGACCTAAATCGGGTTTTAAAATCCAACCTGTTGAGCAACCGGATTAAGATCCCCAACTTTGCCTCTCTCATAAACGTAGGAGGCTTTTGCAACTCGGGAGCAAGCATTCAGCTTTTACAACTTTGCCGATACTACCATGTGTGACGGAAATTGAGCGATATTGTTCGCTGACCAGAGCGACCAAGTGGTTAGAGCGCGAATTTGCTGTGACCGGAAGGTCCGTGGTTCGAACCCGACCTCTGCCTCTCGACTTGCTCTGTCTTGGCTTGGGCAACCTGGCAGTATCCCAGCCCTCGTGCCTCCTTCGTGTAGCATGGCAGCTAGGCATCAAAAGGTGGCCTCAAATCAGACTAAACAAGGTAGGAAAACGAATTCCGACTGTGCAAACATTCTGGCCTACGTCCTAGATGGCATAACGCAACAAAGCCCAAGTTCATTCATTACCATGAATCTTGTTCCCCTCTTTCTGCACCAGGAACGTCCAATGCCTATTGCGTGGTTGAATTAGACGAGCCCTATCAGCGGCACACCACGCATTGTTCCTCTGCTGGCCAACTATTTTGGGATCAGCATTTGTTATTGTGAGTCCTTGTCCACAATATGTCTGGTCTGCCTTGCACGCTGTAATGTTGTATGAATGCGATCCTGTTGCGAGACGTGAATGTGACGCTCAGGCATGTTCGCGCATGCTGAACTGTTTGAGATTGTTTGAGAGAGTCGATCTGGATGCCTCATTAGCTGTTTCCAGTTCAACAGTACCACGTCTTTAACATGTCCGATATCAGGAATGGGCTGTGATCGGGTCCGGCAATTCGGGTGGATCCTAATGCCTGGCGGGTGTGCTTATACCAGGTTAATATCCCAGGCCACTGGGCGCACACACCACCAGACTTTGCAGTAATGCCACCCCCAGAGCATTTTCTGAAGTCTTGCTGACTTCAATCTAAACTTGGGGAAGCAGGAAGCCTTCACTGCGGTGATAGTTTTTGGGTACGCCGCAATGGAATTTCGGGGGGTCGCCGTCTTTGATAAAGTAGATTTCAATCATTGACTTTGTTTCATTGCAGTTTGGTCCCCTCATCAAAGATCGATCCAAAGAGAATGAACATGGGAGCTGTTTCCCGTCGATGGTCACGCACACTTTAACGCTCCACTCGAATGGTTTGTGTGACTATTTGCCATTGGGGTACGTCATTGATTGGGAAAAGGAATCAGTATTGTTGAAGCCCAACCATCCAAGCTAACCAAGACTAACTTTTTTTGCTCTCTCTACTGAGTAGTGCATGACGCCTGACTATCAACTGTTTTGCCTAATCGAGCATGCGCCGATGAACCAGCCGAATCCACCCCGCATACCTTCAGTTGTTTTTGTCATTGGTTACCGAGAATCGTTCGTTGACTATCATGCCATTCAGTAGTATGATCTGCCCTTTCCATTCTTATCTGCCCACCCTCCCGTCTAAACAGCGATTTGAACACCAACTCAAAGCGCATTGCCCTAGAAGTTTTTGAACTCTTCAAACGGAAAAGTAAGTTCTTGGTGTCTTTTTTCCCACAGGCTTTCTATGCTTTTTCTTTGTGGAATAATTGTACAGAGATACAATTCCTCACAAGGTTCCTCAGTCGTTTATTCAGTGAGTTTTCCCCGAGCCGAAATGGCGATTGACTGCTCCCAAAGTGGGTGCCCAACGAGTGAGACGCATTTGTTTGTCATCTACTCTCTTTGTTAACGACCAACTCATCTTTCCGTTGTAGAGTCCGTCTCTAAAGGTCGCAGCGAACTGCTCCTCCAAAGTCTTTTCGCTCCCAGCATCCCTGATGTGGACACAGACACGGAATCGATTTCAACAGGAATTTGGGATACGTCCCAGTTTCGACGTTGTCTACCTTTGATCGGTCGAGCGGACCCTGTGCTCACACCCGGCTCGAATATGAGTGGGAGTAGCAGCCCCGGACTGATGACTGGGCCTTCGGTCGGAACCACGACGTTCAGTTTCGCTCCTGGTGGAATCTACCAGACCCCTACGATCACAGCAGAGGTGAGTAACCCACTGGGGAGGGGGTTGCGTAATCATGCTAAGAACGAAGTAGGACCTATTTCTTGAAAGGTTTTTGTCATGTGAATCAGATGGTGTATTGGGGCTGAGTAAGCTTGTGAAAGTCCCGCATTTCTGATGAGTGCGTTGGCAGCACGACAAATGATCCCCGAAGCCAGTCGGCAGCTCGACTGGCAACCAGATCTTGTCGACACAAGTCACCTGACTCGACAAGGCTGGTATGTGTGTGTGTGTGTGCTAATCGTTGGATTGTTGTCGTACGGGAGCATTCATCGGATGTAGGGATAGAACATCCTTTTGGGCAGAGAAGTCAGCCTCTACATCTGTTGCTTCCAGCAAAGCTACTGCTTCGTTACGTGGTAAAATGCCACGTGACTTTGATCTTCACGGCAGAGCACCGCATGGTTTTCGCTTTGGAAACCGCCTCTAATCACAAAATCGAACATCAACCGTAGTGCATCCTCGATTCCGTGAGCTCAGTGGGTGGAGTTCAAGGCCTGAATTTGCGGACTGATTCGCTATTTCGTGCCACTGTTGAAAGTGTGGATGACGTGGATGCACCTCCTGTGAAATATAGGCTCGAAATATTTCGAAAAAGTATCTCCGGCTGCTCGATTTCATAATCTTTTCCACTTGTCTGTTTGTGAACAACCAGCACGCAGTCGCTTTCTGAAAAATCTACAAGGTGAGGTCTTTTGATCATTCCTCCCACCCCACCCCAAAGTGACCTCGATCACTAACCCCGCCTTTGACCTCCTTCTCTTTCACAGTTCCATTTTATGGAAAAAGCAAATGAAGAAGTCCTGGCGGCAAGGCTACGTGCATCCGGACATCATCCTACCGCAATAAGTCGAACCAGCTCGTCACGGACTGGTCCACAGTCGGTCAGTGCGCAAGACAGTCCTATTCTTGGCTGTTCTTCCGTTCCTGCCCCCAATATTTCTCACTTCAGCTCGTTGTCCCATTCCACTTCATTAGAGTTCGGCACACCTTCAAAGTTTACCCCGTCGCTGAAGACCACCGAGGCGATTACGGAGACCGAAGGGATTGAAGAGGCATCTGAGTCGAAGGACGCGAATCCTTCACAGACAGCCACACTTACAAGGGGGTCTACCACCGTCTCAAAGTATTCGCCTTTGCCTGATGTCAAGGCAAGCACCAGTGGCGGTGGTTCCCCGACCGTACGTACTGCACAGTTATTTTCTCCCGTCCCTCTGCGACGTGCTCAATTAGACCAGCTTGTTCAGCAAGACATTCCCCCCTCCCCGACGTCGTTGCATGCGAGACAGAAAGCAATAGATAAGGTTGTCGTTGCTGGCGAATGCTTCACCGCCACTGGTGCAGTCAGTTCAGAACCTCCTCGAAGTCCTAACCGTTTCGAGGCGGTTACCGGGCAGCAGATGTTCCCGTCGGACGCAGCAAGCAGCGTGGAGTCGAGCACTCCATCGGGTAAGTTGCGCGTTGTACGTTTACAACAGCCAGGTAAACAGGGCTACTCACCAAAATGACGTAACTCACCTTGCTACTCTTCGTCCATAGAATAGTTCTACACAACTAAGAGTTTCTCGTCTCTGTTGAGCAACGTTTAGTATACCCTATCACACGCGTTGTTACACGTAGATATTCAGGCTCACATCACTAGGTCCCAAACAGCTCCTGGATCCGTAGTCTTCCAATTGGTTCAGTTCGTTCTGGGGCTGTCTTCCTGGGTTCTTCATCCTGGGTCTGTTAACGACGTGTCTGTTTATCCTTAAGCAGAAGAGCACAGTCCCAAATGGGAGCCTTTCTCGACATCCCCTGGGTACCTTTGTTGTGGGAGGTGACCTCGTTTTGAATAAATCAATCAACTCACATGCATCGAGGCAAGTTGGGGTCGAATTGTAGCGAGTAGTCCGTCTCTTGTGATCGTCCAACTCCACTCACTTCGAGCGTCACATGTTATCGTGTGTGATCGGATCTGCATTCCGTTTCGAGACTGGCCATTTTGTTCGAATTTATGGTGTGATTTTGCATGCCAGATCAACAGTGAAATAGACTTTACGACAAAACCTCAGGATCACCCAGGTTTTCCACTATAGCTCCACTTTTTTCCTTTTCGAATTGAACTGTTCCCGATGCCAGTCGGTTAGGAATCGTTCAGCTGTAACACCTTTTCGGTGCCTAACTGCCGTGACACCTGAATGAAACGTGAGGGCTGGGATACTGTCAGGGTGTCCAAGCCTAGACAGGGGAAGTTGAGATGCAGAGGTCGGGTTCGAACCACAGACATGGTGGTCAATAAACTCGCGCGTTGAGATGCAGAGGTCGGGTTCGAACCATAGACATGGTGGTCAATAAACTCGCGGTCTAACCACTGTGCCATTTCGCCAGTCAGCACGTGCTCTAAAAAAACAGACACGGATGTTACACGGTCCGTAGATGAGAGAACTGACCTAAGAGGACCAGAACGGGGGGAGACGATCGTGACTTGATCCACCACAGGCTACCGCGCCATCAACAGGTGTTCGACAGATGTTCAGACCATATTTTTTCAATACATTCTTAGTGAATGTCTGGAATATAGTTTGGCCGATGCCTCTCTATTATCTTTTACACGGACCAGCTGACAAGTTTTCGCCTTCCACCAAAAATACTTTTGTACACTTACCGGACTAGTCGTTCTTATGAGTTCTCAGTCGGCTTGTTGGTCAAGTGAGAGTACCTGCGGATTGTGGAAGAAAGGCAAACTCTTCCACAGTGCAGACCTGTGAGTAATTTGCCCTTTTGGAACAAACCCTCCCCGTCTTGATTGGTAAAAGTGGTTTCCGTAATTCCTGGACGTCCGCGCTAGTTTCGTGGATAACAAACAAAGCGACCACCGTGCAGCTTTTCAGGTGCATTATACTACCTTTCGACAGCCCACGATCGGTTTTTTTATTCTTGAGACTTATCAAATAGGTGGATTCAGGCAGTTGGGCCTCCCCCATTTAAACCAGATTGTTATATCTGCTGATTCGCCTGCCTGTGGTATCTGCTGCTGACCTGCTCCAGTCCCTAGTGTCGGAGAGAAAAAGACTCACGGAAGGGAACACAATAGGTATATTCCAACGAAGTGGTTGCGAGAGCGCGAGTGCGTGAGAGTGCGAAAAGTACAACGGCCTCAAGCTTTTTATTGGAGGGACACTGTCTGAACTTGGTCCAATGCTGACGCACGCGGTCTGGCTTTAGTACGAGGCAGCGACGCGCTGCATATTGAGGGGGCGTTGTCTCTCTGGTCAACACCCAGGAGCTGAGAGTCTCCGTAGATTCCGGGCATTCAGTGGTTGCTTTCAGGAAGCTGACCTTCCTGATACAGATTAGTTTGCAAGCGACTTGAGTCCACATGGAGTTTAGGGTTGGTGGAAACTCGGGGACTGCGCCAACCTGATGAGCCCCAAGAAGGGCGAAACCGGTCGTGAGCCATCGAGGAGTTTTCGTTTGTGAAAATATACTGCGATATCTCGAATAGTGTACCAATTGAAACACGAGGCGGCCTTTGTGCAGCTGGTTTAGCTAAGTTCATTTGAATCTCCCCTTAAAATCAAAGTCTTTTCAAACGAGTGCTTTTCGTGTGTAGTTTCACCTTTTTCCATATCATCATTTCGTTCACTAGGTAAGAATTATCGACCAATTAACTATCCTCAATGGGCGAGATGGCTCAGTGGTTACTGTGACCGGAAGGTCCGTGGTTCAAACCCGACCTCTGCCTCTCGACTGCCCCTGTCTAGGCTTGGACCACCTGGTAGTATCCTAGCCCTCGTGCTTCCTTCGGGTGGCATGGCAGTTAGACACCGAAAGGATGTTACGCTTGAACGGTCAGTCATAAAGTCTTCATGATTTGCTCTGTTTTTGGCTTTGTTTCTTGCCTCTGGTCATCCAAGATGAGCGTTTTTGACCGGTCATTCCCATGCCGAAGAAGTATTCTGTCCATTGTTGTTATCGGCTAAAGCGAGCATTACCCGAGTCTGATGGGAACACTGGATCAGTGATGCCTGAAGCACCTCGAACGACTTTCGGGAAAAAATAACTCTCCCACTGTAGACAAACCGATCTCATTTCATAGATTGCGCTGGCATGGTCACATGCTCCGTTTGCCAGTCGAACTTCGTTTTTCGCACATTCACGCGAAAAGTGAAAAAGGGGTTTTCGATTTGTAATGTACTACTCATAAGGTTGCTGAAAATCCATCGACAGCCCACGATTAGTTTCGCCCTTCTTAGGGCTCATCAGGTAGGCGCAGTCCCCGGGTTTCCATCAACCTTATGTTCGATTTCATTTTCGATTTATTGCTGGGCAACGTTTCGCTTTTGACACAAAAGCTTTGTCAGTTCAAGTGACCAGGTTCCGAGGTTGGTCGAGATTTAAGGCGGAAGGAGAACCGGTCGGTGGGGAAACCTACATGTGTTTGGGTCCAGCGTAGGGTCTAGTTCTTCTGGTTCGGTTTATTTGATGGTCCCTATCGAACGTCGTTTGAACCTTCTGTCAGTCTGTGTGGGTGAGCTAGTGCTAAGAAAGTTGTGTAAGAGGGATGCTATGACGTTTGTTCGGGTTGGGAGTTTCACCCCCACCCCCGGTTTTTACTAATGACTCTACGTGGATTGACAACCACACTGTCACGTGTCAACTTGACTTATCTAAGACCGCTTTCCATACGCTCGCCAGTTCCACACCCTCGACTCTATTTACGCTGTGATGCTTAGTAATTTCCACCACCTCGGCTATCAGCCGCTGTGGTATGAATCTCAGAACCCGTCTTAAAACGGGGTTGTTGACTTGGCAGCGGGGGCCAGCACCAGCAAACTCAGCCTACCTATTGAAACGTCCACTGGCACCCCAGTGGACAGCTGTGTGACAAGTACAAGGTTTGTACAGCTGATGGCGTTGATGATCGGACGAACGCTTGGTTGAAAGATCACCGTATTCTTTGACACTGTCACGTGATCGGCTGCACCACTGGTTCTCTCGTGGTGGAGTCGATCTTGTCACTCGGTGTCAGTCTGTTCCTCAAACCATCCGGCGTACCCGTTCTGATTGGCTGTTCTTCACTCGGTGTCAGTCTGTTCCTCAAACCAATGGTGTGCGCCATCCGACGTACCCGTTCTGATTGGCTGTTCGACCTATTTGTTGGTTCCGTTGTAATTATGCTGCGCTTCGGGCTCTCGCTTCAGGGGACTCCTGCCTCGGTGTCCGCGGATGCCTCGTTTAAATCTGTCGTTCACAAAAGCTGTATCGTGTTTCGTTTGATACAATGTCCGGGATTTCATTGATGGAACACACGAGTCGCAACCATTTTCAGCAACTCCCCTTGAGTAGTATGTCACGTCAAGAAGATCACTGAGGTGTACACCTGTTGATCCAAATGGGTTTCCAACGATATAATTGAGAGTTTTTTTCCTGGAAACAGTGAAACTCAGTTTGCTCGCACTATGATAGGCCTTCTCGAGCAAGCAACTGCTTTCAGTGTGGCCTCAACCGGCCAAAGCAATCATAAAATATATCGCAAAACTTATGGTGTTCTCCCAGGCACTGGAAAGTCCGTTTTGACCTGGAATACTTCTGACGGTGGTTCTGGATAGGTTGTTGGACGAAGCCAATGAATTCTAATTGATTGAACCTGGTTCTTTTGTAGGCAATGTATGGCCTGACAGAGTTAGGTGGGGCCGGTCTCGGCCGTTGCAAGTAAGCTCTGTGGTACGATCTTGAAGTGGTATGCACGAACAGAGTAAGCTACCGCAAACGGCTTGCCTGGGTTACCAGATCCTGTTACGTGGAGGCGGTTCATGCTTTCTTGATTTGTCATTGGAAAGGAACCCGGTACTAATGGAACAATCGTCGGATCGTGTAATCGATTTGGCTTGTACAACAATCACAAGTGAATGAGGACTGGAAACCCACCTTTTGTATTAAGCTTGATCATAGGCATCATCATCGTCATTGTCAGCTGTAATGACCGCGTACTTGTCGTACAGTGGTTGTAGCTGCCGCAGTTTCGTTCACCGATGATTTAGGGAGGTGGGGTAGGTAGCTGCAAATTGGAGGCGGGAACAGATAAATTGGTGCCAAAATACAGGGGCTGTTAAGTGGGGGAGGGGTTGGAAATGAAGCCATGCATTGAAGGCAATAGCTTGGATGTATGAGCGCCGCTAAGGGCGCAACTGGGTCATGTCTGACAATGTCCCTAGCCATTGATGTGGCCCGTCTCGGGGTCCCCATCCAGGAAGACGGCAGTGACCAGCGCAGCTGAGTTTGCTGGTAATGGCTTGTGATTAAAACCCTGGGGTCTTTCAGGATTGAAAATCATACTACTAATTGATCTGGTTAGCATTTTCCCGCTCTTAAATGATGGGAGTTGGGTGTACGGTCGCTTCTCGGGCACTGTCTAGGTCGAATCCTATGATCGATTTCACCGGGCCAAATGTCACCGCAGAAACTTCTTTGGAATTCCATTCGCTATCAAAGCCTCAGATCTCCATCCAAGACTTCATAAGTCGAGGTTCTGTGGGCTCTGTGTGGCAAGCATCTGACCAAGTTTTATTCGTAATTCAAATATAAAAATGAATGTTTTGTCCGTCAGGTTTCCTACAAAGATTGATATCCAGGAAGTGAAGTCCATTTCTGCAAACCAAACTCTGGATTATCCGGGTTAAAGCTTTCCAATATGTCTAACACATCGTCCCTCCTTTCAAGCAACACAACTGTAACATCCACAGCTCTTCTAGTGTCGACGTCTAACGGCAACGGACTGTTTGGCGAAACTACCGCCATACCGTCTTTGTCCGTATACTGCATCTGTTGAACACCTTAACAGCAGCTTTTCGAATATTCATAGTAGGGTTTCTTATCTATCACAAGGATTGTACATTTGTGAATGACGAAGTGGACCGGAGATGACTCAGTGGTTGGTGCGCGAACTTATCGACTGGAACGTTCGTGTTTCAGACCTAGCATCTACGGCGAGCCAAAAATTAGAACGCTAAGGTAGGTAAGATGTTCAGCTGTAGTATCCTTTCGGTGCCGATTTGTCATGCCACCCGAAGGTTGCACGAGGGCAGGGAAACTGCCAGGTTGCCCAAGCCTAGACAGGGGGTGTCGAGAGGCAGAGGTCGGGTTCGAACCACGGACCTTCCGGTCACTAAATTCGCGCCCTAACTACTTGGTCCATCTCGCCACCCGGCGTTTCGATCACTTTTATCTAGGCTTGTGGTATCTCAGCTCTCGTGTTTCTTTGGAAAGGCATGGCAACGGAAGGGAGTTACAGCCGAACTATTTTTCCCATTGCAGTTAGGGATCAGTGTTGCCGACAATCACGATGAGTTAAGTATCCCCCAAAAGAGCCCATGATACTTTCGCGAATTTTTCTAGCCAGAGGTTCATAGCTGCTTCCGTGTCGTTTTGCATGAACCAACTAAGCGTTTTGTGATTGCATGACCTACCCAAATCTCAGGTTGTTCAAATAAGATTTCGACCCTTCTGCACTTTCATTCGGCTGTAGCACCCTCTCGGTCCCAAACTGCCTTGCAAAGAGAAGGAAGCTCGAGG